CTATAGATCAGGAGAGTCCATTAGAGCCAGGCGGGGGGGTAGGATCTGGGAGAAAAAGTGTGACGCAGGGGGCGGGGCACACACGTGACACCATTGGGTGCTATGACACCGGCAATCCTAACAACCAATGACTGCAGCGTAGTGAGGATCCAGCCCAGCAGAGTGGTGGTCTGATGGTCCGGACTGGGCTGTCAGAAGGTCCGACTCCAGACCACGGTCCGCCATGTAGTGAAGGCTGGAGGACGCCCACCTTCCCTCCCCAGTCTGACTGTCCCTGGCCCCGCCCCTTTCCTTCATTGGAGTTCAGTAAGAAGGATCAAAGTCCAACGAGCTCCACCTCCAAGCTGTGACCCAATGGCTGAGCCACAACCTCCATCCTGCTGGGACTTGTAGTCCGCTGGTACCTGGATGGGGTCCTGGCGCTGTCCTCCCATTGTGATGGCAGTGATTGGTCTGTGGCTGGGAGGAAGCCGATCACTAACGAGTTTCCTTCCTGACCGATTGATGGCCGAAGCTCAGCATCGATCGTTACTGTCATGGCGCTCTGTGATTGGGGGGGGGGGGGCGAGCTTCTGGTCCAGGAGGGGGGATGGAATTGTGGGGCCCTTAGTGGTCATGGCGCTCTGTGATTGGGGGGATGGAATTGTGGGGCCCGTAGTGGTCATGGTGCTCTGTGATTGGGGGGATGGAATTGTGGGGCCCTTAGTGGTCATGGCACTCTGTGATTGGGGGGATGGAATTGTGGGGCCCGTAGTGGTCATGGCGCTCTGTGATTGGTGGGATGGAATTGTGGGGCCCGTAGTGGTCATGGTGCTCTGTGATTGGGGGGATGGAATTGTGGGGCCCATACTGGTCATGGCGCTCTGTGATTGGGGGGGATGGAATTGTGGGGCCCGTAATGGTCATGGCGCTCTGTGATTGGGGGGATGGAATTGTGGGGCCCATAATGGTCATGGCGCTCTGTGATTGGGGGGATGGAATTGTGGGGCCCGTAGTGTTCATGGCGCTCTGTGATTGGGGGGATGGAATTGTGGGGCCCGTAGTGGTCATGGCGCTCTGTGATTGGGGGGATGGAATTGTGGGGCTAGTAGTGGTCATGGCGCTGTGTGATTGGAGGGGGGGGGGCGATGGCGAGTTTCTGGTCCAGGAGGGGGATGGAATTGTGGGGGCCCGTAGTGGTCATGGCGCTCTGTGATTGGGGGGATGGAATTGTGGGGCCCATACTGGTCATGGCGCTCTGTGATTGGGGGGGATGGAATTGTGGGGCCCGTAATGGTCATGGCGCTCTGTGATTGGGGGGATGGAATTGTGGGCCCATAATGGTCATGGCGCTCTGTGATTGGGGGGATGGAATTGTGGGGCCCGTAGTGGTCATGGCGCTCTGTGATTGGGGGGATGGAATTGTGGGGCCCGTAGTGGTCATGGCGCTCTGTGATTGGGGGGGATGGAATTGTGGGGCTAGTAGTGGTCATGGTGCTCTGTGATTGGGGGGATGGAATTGTGGGGCTAGTAGTGGTCATGGTGCTCTGTGATTGGGGGGATGGAATTGTGGGGCCCGTAGTGGGTCATGGCGCTCTGTGATTGGGGGGATGGAATTGTGGGGCTAGTAGTGGTCATGGTGCTCTGTGATTGGGGGGGATGGAATTGTGGGGCCCGTAGTGGTCATGGCGCTGTGTGATTGGAGGGGGGGGGCGATGGCGAGTTTCTGGTCCAGGAGGGGGGTGGAATTGTGGGGCCCGTAGTGGTCATGGTGCTCTGTGATTGGGGGGATGGAATTGTGGGGCCCGTAGTGGTCATGGCGCTGTGTGATTGGAGGGGGGGGGGCGATGGCAAGTTTCTGGTCCAGGAGGGGGGTGGAATTGTGGGGCCCGTAGTGGTCATGGTGCTCTGTGATTGGGGGGATGGAATTGTGGGGCCCGTAGTGGTCATGGCGCTCTGTGATTGGGGGATGGAATTGTGGGGCCCGTAGTGGTCATGGTGCTCTGTGATTGGGGGATGGAATTGTGGGGCCCGTAGTGGTCATGGTGCTCTGTGATTGGGGGATGGAATTGTGGGGCCCGTAGTGGTCATGGTGCTCTGTGATTGGGGGATGGAATTGTGGGGCCCGTAGTGGTCATGGTGCTCTGTGATTGGGGGATGGAATTGTGGGGCCCGTAGTGGTCATGGTGCTCTGTGATTGGGGGATGGAATTGTGGGGCCCGTAGTGGTCATGGTGCTCTGTGATTGGGGGATGGAATTGTGGGGCCCGTAGTGGTCATGCGGTGACAGGTCCACTTTGTCGTCTCTCCTCCTCCCCTCTCCAAGGCGGATCTGATTCTCTTCTAGGAAAGAACGAACTTTTGAGATTTAATGAATTGCAAAGCGAACGGCCAGCAAACAGCTGAAGTCGCGGCACAAACACAAAGATCGCCGTTGTCGCAGCCATGAAAGGATCTGTATGTCTGTCCATCCGGTCCTGAGATTCGCACAGCTCTACCACGCAGCACAGACCTGATATTTCTTTGCTGCAGTTCAGTAAACTTACAGGTCTTGTCTCCTCCCCCCCCCCCCCCCCACCCAGCCTGTGATTGGACAGTGAAAGGAGAAGCAGCTGCGGGAGTTCCTCTGTCACTCTGCTCTCCCCTCCTATCAGCATGCCCCCTTGTTGACACATGAGTACTGCAGCTGGCTTGGCGGGCTCCTTGTGCTACTTCTCCCTCTCTCAGTCTGAGCTCTGCTGTCCAGGGAGGGTGACAATGGTTGTACTGATGGGGGAGGAGAAGGCTCCCCTGTCATTGGACGCTCCGGGGTGGAATCAGCCGGGACTCTGAGACACTTTGGACTCTGAACTTCCTCCGGTCTTATCACATCACATCCCTGATCGGGGGGGGGGGGGGCACTTCCGCAGGAGGGGGCTCCTAGGAGGGGGGTAGGGGGGGCACTTTGACCTTTTTGCCTTGGCTGCTGATGAACCTTGTCCTGGCCCCGGGGCCCCTGTATTGTGTGTCCAGATGTCCCAGCCCTGGGGCCCCTGTAATGTGTGTCCAGATGTCCCGGCCCCGGGGCCCCTGTATTGTGTGTCCAGGCAAAGTACACGCATGTTGACAGGCAGAGAGCAGCACACACCTACAGCAAACACGCACACGCCCGGCACGCCCTGTGATAGCGGAGAAGGTGACAACTCCCCGCCATACAGATCAGGAGCGAGGTGATTGGCCTGTCATTGGAGCACAGACAGGGAGAGGTATGGGGGGGAGGGGGGTCTCACCACCAGGGCTGGGCTCAGGGGTTGGCAGGAGAGGCAGCTGCCTTGGGGCACTTCAAGAAAGGGCAAGCTATGCTGTGGAGGCAGTTCACAGGTCAGGGGGGAGGGGGCGCTCTTTGGTCTTTTCATCTTGCACTGCTCCCCATCCCCCGATGGAGAGGTCACTCAGCAATGTATAATGCGCCCATACCAGGCCATTCCTGCCCATCCCCCCCCTCGCCCATGGGACAATCTCCCTCCAGCACTCCTGTGTGATGTCACTGAGGGTTTGTTCTGGTCCCCTCCCCCATTGTGTGTGATGTCACTGAGGGTTTGTTCTGGTCCCCTCCCCCATTGTGTGTGATGTCACTGAGGGTTTGTTCTGGTCCCCCCCCCATTGTGTGTGATGTCACTGAGGGTTTGTTCTGGTCCCCTCCCCCATTGTGTGTGATGTCACTGAGGGTTTGTTCTGGTCCCCTCCCCCATTGTGTGTGATGTCACTGAGGGTTTGTTCTGGTCCCCTCCCCCATTGTGTGTGATGTCACTGAGGGTTTGTTCTTGTCCCCTCTTCCATTGTGTGTGATGTCACTGAGGGTTTGTTCTGGTCCCCTCCCCCATTGTGTGTGATGTCACTGAGGGTTTATTCTGGTCCCCTCCCCCATTGTGTGTGATGTCATTGAGGATCATTGTGATGTCACCTCCCATGTGGATTTCCTGTGTGATGTCACTGAGGGTTTGTTCTTGTCCCTCCCCCATTGTGTGTGATGTCACTGAGGGTTTTTATTCTTGTCTCCGCCCCCATTGTGTGTGATGTCACTGAGAGTTTGTTTTGGTCCCCTCCCCCATTGTGTGTGATGTCACTGAGGGTTTGTTCTGGTATCCCCTCCCCCATTGTGTGTGATGTCATTGAGGGATCATTGTGATGTCACCTCCCATGTGGATTTCCTGTGTGATGTCACTGAGGGTTTGTTCTTGTCCCCTCCCCCATTGGGTGTGATGTCACTGAGGGTTTATTCTTGTCTCCCGCCCCCATTGTGTGTGATGTCACTGAGAGTTTGTTTTGGTCCCCCTCCCCCATTGTGTGTGATGTCACTGAGGGTTTGTTCTGGTATCCCCTCCCCCATTGTGTGTGTGATGTCACTGAGGGTTTGTTCTGGTCCCCTCCCCCTTGTGTGTGATGATGTCACTGAGGGTTTGTTCTGGTCCCCTCCCCCTTTGTGTGTGATGTCATGAGGGTTTGTTCTGGTCCCCTCCCCCATTGTGTGTGATGTCACTGAGGGTTTGTTCTGGTCCCCTCCCCCATTGTGTGTGATGTCATTGAGGGATCATTGTGATGTCACCTCCCATGTGGATTTCCTGTGTGATGTCACTGAGGGTTTGTTCTTGTCCCCCTCCCCCATTGTGTGTGTGCCATGCTTGTCTGATGGTGGTTTATTCTGGTCCCCTCCCCCATTGTGTGTGATGTCACTGAGGTTTGTTCTGGTCCCCTCCTCCCCCATTGTGTGTGATGTCACTGAGGGTTTGTTCTTGTCCCCTCCCCCATTGTGTGTGATGTCACTGAGGGTTTGTTCTGGTCCCCTCCCCCATTGTGTGTGATGTCACTGAGGGTTTGTTCTGGTCCCCTCCCCCATTGTGTGTGATGTCACTGAGGGTTTGTTCTGGTCCCCTCCCCCATTGTGTGTGATGTCATTGAGGGATCATTGTGATGTCACCTCCCATGTGGATTTCCTGTGTGATGTCACTGAGGGGTAATTGATGTTGTTTTCCTCAGCAGGAGATGTCGGGGAAGAGGATGGTGTCATCGGTACGATCACTCTGGCTCCGCCCTGGAGAGCCGAAATTTCACAAAAGGATCCAACAATCAAACCAACCGGCAAAGCCAGAACAAGGCGGACAGAACTCCCCCCCTGAGACCCCGCCCAACCTGAGACACCCCACCCCCGAGGAGTCCTGGTCAGACAGGAAGAGCTCCAGAATGGAGGTAAGACAGTGTGAGGAAGCATGGGGAGACTTGTAACGGGGCAGCAGTCTCTGGTAACGCGGGCCGCAGTCTCTGGTAACGGGGCAGCAGTCTCTGGTAACGGGGCCGCAGTCTCCTGGTAACGGGGCCGCAGTCTCTGGTACGGGGTTGGGGCCGCAGTCTCTGGTAATGGCAGCAGTCTCTGGTAACGGGGCCGCAGTCTCTGGTAACGGGGCCGCAGTCTCTGGTAAGGGGCCGCAGTCTCTGGTAACGGGGCCGCAGTCTCTGGTAACATTGCAGCAGTCTCTGGTAAATGGGGCGCAGTCTCTGGTACATTGCAGCTTGTCTCTGGTAATGGGGCCGCAGTCTCTGGTAACGGGGCCGCAGTCTCTGGTAACGGGGCCGCAGTCTCTGGTAACGTGGGGCCGCAGTCTCTGTAACGGGCAGCAGTCTCTGGTAACGGTGCCGGGGCCGCAGTCTCTGGTAAACGGTACTTCCGCACAGTCTCTGGTAACATTGCAGCAGTCTCTGGTAATGGGGGTCCGCAGTCTCTGGTCTAACGGGGCCGCAGTCTCTGGTAACGGGGCAGCAGCAGCAGTCTCTGGTAACGGGGGCCGCAGTCTCTGGGTAACGGGGCAGCAGTCCTCTGGTAACGGGGCAGCAGTCTCTGGTAACATTGCAGCAGTCTCTGGTAACGGGGCCGCAGTCTCTGGTAACTGGGGCCGCAGTCTCTGGTAACATTGCAGCAGTCTCTGGTAATGGGGCCGCAGTCTCTGGGTAACGGGGGCCGCAGTCTCTGGTAACGCGGGGCCGCAGTCTCTGGTAACGGGGCCGCAGTCTCTGGTAACGGGGGGGGCAGCAGTCTCTGGTACGGGTCGGCCGCAGTCTCTGGTAACGGGGCCGCAGTCTCTGGTAACATTGCAGCAGTCTCTGGTAATGGGGGCCGCAGGCAGTCTCTGGTAACGGGGCCGCAGTCTCTGGTAACGGGGCCGCAGTCTCTGGTAACGGGGGCCGCAGTCTCTGGTAACCATTGCAGCAGTCTCTGGTAATGGGGCCAGCAGTCTCTGGTAAATGGGGCCGCAGTCTCTGGTAACGGGGGCAGTCTCTGGTAACGGGGCAGTCTCTGGTAACGGGGCAGCAGTCTCTGGTAACGGGGCAGGCAAGGCAGCGAAAGTCTCTGGTAACGGGGCAGCAGTCTCTGGTAACGGGGCAGCAGTCTCTGGTAAACGGGGGCAGCAGTCTACTGGTAACATTGCAGCAGTCTCTGGTAACATTGCAGCAGTCTCTGGTAACGGGGCCGCAGTCTCTGGTAACATGTTAGCTGGTAACTGACAGTCTCTGCTGGGTTGGCTGTGATGTCACAGCTGTATGTGATCGGTGACTCTTGGAGAATATCTTATGATGGAATGTAGAATGGGAGGCGGGAACATTTTCCTCTATTGCCTCCTTTAATCCAGGGACCTGTATACAACCATGGAGCCCTCCCCTCCCCCCAGCATACCTGAAGCCTAGCGCCCGAGCACCCCCCCCCAGGTATTGCTGTGCCCTAGTCACACCTGAGTTGTGTCCAGGATCTCTCTATCAGTCACTGGTGATTGTGATGGAGAACATCGGAAGGATGATGGAGTGAAGGACCCCCCCCCCATAGTGCTGAACTGCATTCCTGAGATTTCTATCTGTTCCTCATTGTAATTCCAGGAATTCGCCCCCCCACCCCCCACACACAACCCTGCCCCGCCCAATAATCACTCCATGTCATGGGAAGGGGGTGCCAGAGGTGAGACCCCGGGAGGCCCCCCACCGCCATCCCTCCATTGTCTCCCCTCCTGGAATGTGTACAACTGTATATCACCCCTTCATAATGTATACAGATATATATATATCACCCCTATATAATGTATACAGATATATATATATCACCCTATATAATGTATACAGATATATATATATATATCACCCTATATAATGTATACAGATATATATATATATATATATCACCCTATATAATGTATACAGATATATATATATCACCCCCCTATATAATGTATACAGATATACAGATATATATATATCACCCTATATAATGTATACAGATATATATATCAACCCTATAATATATCACCCTATATAATGTATACAGATATATATATATCACCCCTATATAATGTATACAGATATATATATATATACCCCTATCATAATGTATACAGATATATATATCACCCTATATAATGTATACAGATATATATATCACCCTATATAATGTATACAGATATATATATATCACCCTATATAATGTATACAGATATATATATATCACCCCTATATAATGTATACAGATATATATATATTATCACCCTATATAATGTATTTATCTCTATCCCTCAGTATCGCCCCCTCTGGGTTATATCGGTGATGTGGAATCTTCTCTCACATTCCTTTATTATCAGATGGTTCTGCCCATCCTCAGGATTCCACATTCCACAAATGGAAACAATTGGAGGCCTCAGCCTCTACCGGGCCTCTTTTTACTCGATCCTTCTCTCGAAAATTCTCCCACGTATCCCCTCTCCCCGGCCTCTCCCCTCCGTCCTCCTCTCCCCGTCCTCTCTCCCGTCCTCTCCCCGTTCTCTCTCCCTTCCCCTCTCTCCCGTCCTCTCCTCGTCCCCTCTCCCCGCTTCCTCTCCCCGTCCTCCCTCACCTCTCCCCGTCCTCCCCCCGTCCTCCCTCCCCGTCCTCCCCGGCCTCCCCCCGTCCCCTCCTCTCCCCGTCCTCGTCCCCCGTCCTCCTCCCCCCCTACCCGTCTCCCTCCCGTCCTCTCCCGTCCTCTCCCCGTCCTCTCCCCGTCCTCTCCCCGGCCTTCCCGTTCCTCTCCCCGTCCTCCTCCCCGTCCCTCTCCCCGGCCTCTCCCCGTCCTCTCCCCGTCCCCTCTCTCCCCGGCCTCCCCCGTCCTCTCCCCGGCCTCTCCCCTCTCCTCCTTCCCCCCTCCCCCGTCCCTCTCTCCCCCGTCCTCTCCCCGTCCTCCCCGGCCCCCTCCCCCCTCTCCCTCTCCTCTCTCCCGTCCTCTCCCCGTCCTCCTCCCCGTCCTCTCCCCGTCCTCTCCCCCCCTCTCCCCTCATCCCCCTCTCCCTCCCCTCCCGTCCCTCCCCTCTCCTCCCCGGCCTCTCCCCGTCCTCTCCCCGTCCTCTCCCCTCCCCCCTCTCCCCGTCCTCTCCCCTCTCTCCCCCCCCTCTCCCCGTCCTCCCCCTCCCCCTCCTCCCCGTCCTTCCCCGTCCCCGTCCTTCTCTCCCCTCCTCCTCGGCCTCTCCCCTCCTCTCTCCCCCCCTCTCCCCTCCCCCTCCTCCCCCCCCCGTCCTCTCCCCTCCCCTCCTCCCCGTCCTCTCCCCGTCCTCTCCCGTCCCTCCCCGTCCCTCTCCTCTCCCCGTCCCCAACCTTTCCCCCCTCTCCTCGGCCTCTCCCCGTCCTCCCTCTCCCCTGGCCTCTCTCCCCGGCCTCTCCCCGGCCTCTCCCCGGCCTCTCCCCGTCCTCTCCCCGGCTCTCCCCGGCCTCTCCCCCGTCCTCTCCCCCAGGCTCAGATAAGAAAATACCTTCCTCCATTCTTCCATCTACCCCACACCCACTACCACCACTCCTTACCCCCCCCCCCCCAAAACACCCCACTGTCACCCCTCCCCCCCGAAATACCCCACTATCACCCCTCCCCCCGAAACACCCCACTATCACCCCTCCCCCTGAAACACCCCCTATGAAACACCCCACTATCCCCCCCAAAACACTTCATTATCCTCCCTCCCCCCCCGAAAATCCCCCTCAATATCCCCCTCCCCCCCAAAAACACTTCATTATCCTACCCTCCCCCCGAAACCCCTCACTATCCCCCCTACCCCCTCAAAAACACCCCCACTATTCCCCCTTCCCCCCCAAAACACCCCACTATGCCCCCTTCCCCCAAAAAACACCCCACTATTCCCTCCTCCTCCCCTCAACACCCCTCTATTCCCTCCTCTCACCCTCCTCCCCTCAACACCCCATTATTCTCCTCATCCTCCCCAGCACACCCCCCTATCCTCACTCCCTAACCCTTTTCCTGAGACATCCCCTCTACTTATCCCTCATCCCCCCCCCATCCCTGACCCCCACTTTCCCCTCCCCCGGTTTGCACACCCTATGGATCTGATGGGGTTATATTTGGACAGACTCTCCTCCTCTAGAAATACGAGTTCTGCTTCAGATGTAAAACACGTTGATTGTGAAGATTTCACAAGAGGCTCTTCAGAGATCTGGAGAGGAATTTCAGATGTTGACACAAGATAGACGAGTGATCAGTCAGCAATTTTCCTGGAAAACGTGAAGTGAAGGAAGAACGAGTGAGTGTGGCGCCCCCCAGAGGGGACATACTAAAAGGAATGGCAGAATGGGATGCCCCATAGACTTTACCATGTGGAATGCCCATAGACTTTACCAGGGCGGTGGAATGCCCATAGACCTTACCAGGGCGGTGGAATGCCCATAGACTTCACCAGGGCAGTGGAATGCCCATAGACAGTAATGGAACAGGAGGGACATCCCCTTCTCTTCCATGCTTGTCTATGGGCATTCCATTCTGTCATTCCTTTAGTATGCCCCCCCCCCAGAGACCTTCCCTGCGCTCATTACCATTGTCACCTCTGACCAATTAAATGCCTGCTTGCCGAGTGTGGGAGGGGCCATTACTAAAGCTGTACATTCGATGAGTGGACGAACGTAGAAAGTACATCAAAGTTGAATTTGCTTTTTACATTTGATTAAAGAATGTCATTTCCTCAACGATTCTCCATCCTGCGCCTTCCAATGTTCTCTCCAATGTGATAGGAAATGAAGGTCGATTCGCTCCCACTAACGCATAGAACATCAAACGAACGTTCCTAAAATGAACAATTTGGAACTAAACTCTACTAGTGTATGGCCATCTTCACCAGGAGAACAGATAAATATCTTCCATCTATACGGATACATTGTATTTCTTTCTACTTCTATACGGATACATTGTATTTCTTCTCTTCTATACGGATACATTGTATTTCTTCTCTTCTATACGGATACATTGTATTCTTCTCTTCTATACGGATACATTGTAATTCTTCTCTTCTATACGGATACATTGTATTTCTTCTCTTCTATACGGATACATTGTAATTCTTCTCTTCTATATACGGATACATTGTATTTCTTCTCTTCTATACGGATACATTGTATTTCTTCTCTTCTATACGGATACATTGTAATTCTTCTCTTCTATACGGATACATTGTATTTCTTCTCTTCTATACGGATACATTGTATTTCTTCTCTTCTATACGGATACATTGTAATTCTTCTCTTCTATACGGATACATTGTATTTCTTCTCTTCTAACGGATACATTGTATTTCTTCTCTTCTATACGGATACATTGTATTTCTTTCTTTATACGGATCATTGTATTTCTTCTCTTCTAACGGATACATTGTATTTCTTCTCTTCTATACGGATACATTGTATTTCTTCTCTTCTATACGGATACATTGTATTTCTTCTCTTCTATACGGATACATTGTATTTCTTCTCTCTTCTATACGGATACATTGTATTTCTCTTCTCTTCTACCTAACGGATACATTGTATTTCTTCTCTTCTACACGGATACATTGTATTTCTTCTCTTCTACACGGATACATTGTATTTCTTCTCTTCTACACGGATACATTGTATTTCTTTTCTTCTACACGGATACATTGTATTTCTCTTCTATACAGATACATTGTATTTCTTCTCTTCTATATGGATACAGTGTATTTCTTCTCTTCTATACGGATACATTGTATTTCTTCTCTTCTATACGGATACATTGTATTTCTTCTCTTCTATACGGATACATTGTATTTCTTCTCTTCTATACGGATACATTGTATTTCTTCTCTTCTAACGGATACATTGTATTTCTTCTCTTCTAACGGATACATTGCATTTCTTCTCCTTGTTCTCAGGTCTGCCGTCCTTCACTCCCACCTTCTTGGATGAAATCCCCCCTGAAGACGATTGTCTGAGCCCTGATCTCTCACCACCCCACCCCCACCCCACCACCAGTTCAAGTGAAGACCCCAATACACATCCTGGACCCCTCCCCCCCTCCTCTTCCCCTGAACTCGCTAACCTTAGAGTTGGAGAAGCTGGAATTGGCCTTTCCTACGTCTCAGCAGGTGAACTCCTATTATTACCACCCCCCCATCATATAGTACATTGTATTTTGTGAAACCAGAATCCTCACTGACCCTCTTCCTCCATACAGAAAGTGGTGACACCCCCCAGCGCCCGGTCCGGTGAAGTCCTTACCAACCACAACCCAGCTGAGGCGAGAAGAGCCGGTGCCAGGGAAGCAGAACGGGTACAGTGGAAGGCCGGAGAGCTCAGGTACGCCATGATGGCGCCAAGGACAAGGGCTGGGTGTGAACTGCGGTCAGATGTGGTCACTTTGCTCCAGACAGAACCTACAAAGAGAGAAACGTTCTCCTGGATCTTGTCCTCTAGAATAATCCATTTTATTCCAGTTTCTAGAAATAAGCCCCGCCCTTGTTCTATGTACATATTCTAGACTCAGGGATACAGCTGGAGGTAAGTTCTGGATGTTCTGTCACTTCCTGTCCTGTGCTTCTCCATCAGAGACCTGTGCGTTCTGCCACAAGGCCATCCTCCCCACCGCCGCCGCCATCGAGGCCATGAAGAAGCAATACCACGCCAGCTGCTTCACCTGCCGCAAGTGTCACCGCCTCCTCGCCGGGCAACTGTACTACCAGAAGGACGGGCAGCCCCTCTGTGAGCACTGCTACAAGGTAACGTGTCCAGGGCAGGGCTATGGGGGACCCGAAACAGTTCTACACCACAGGAAGGGACTGGAGCTCTGTTCTAGACTGGGGAGAGGACTGGTGTTCTGTTCTAGACTGTAGAGAGGGACTGTGGTGTTCTGTTCTAGACTAGGGAGAGGGACTATGGTTCTGTTTTAGACTGTAGAGAGGGACTGGAGCTCTGTTCTAGACTACGGGGGAGGGACTGGAGGGTTCTAGACTGGGGAGGGCTCTGTTCTAGACTGGGGAGAGGGACTGGAGCTCTGTCCTAGACTGGGGAGAGGGACTATGGTTCTGTTTTAGACTGTAGAGAGGGACTGGAGCTCTGTCCTAGACTGGGGAGAGGGACTGGGGTTCTGTTTTTAGACTGGGGAGAGGGACTGGTGTTCTGTCCTAGACTGGGGAGAGGGACTGGCGTTCTGTTCTAGACTGGGGGGAGAGGGACTGGAGCTATGTTCTAGACTGGGGAGAGGGACTGGTGTTCTGTTCTAGACTGGGGAGGAGGGACTGGGTGTTCTGTTCTAGACTGTGGAGGAGGGACTGGTGTTCTGTTCTAGACTGGGGAGAGGGACTGGTGTTCTGTTCTTTTAGAGGGTGGAGAGTGATTGACGCTCCGATGTAGACTGTGCGGGGGACAACTGGCGCTCTGTTCTAGACTGCGGACTGTGGCTGACACCGAGGAACGATTTTCTAATTATCTGAAAAAAGAAGAATTTGGATATGAATCCCCCCTCCCCCCATCAGTCTTTGTCGGGGGGTTCTCCGCATCCCAGTGCTGCCTCAGTTTTTGGATGGGATGTTTGGTTGATGCGTGGGTGTGGGAGATGATGGAGTGACATCATAGTTCTCTGGCGGTGAGGTCACAGTGTGCTGACATGGCGGAATCCACGAGCGGAGCGTTTTGTTCCGGGCGCTGACCTTGCTGCCTCATGCATTTTGCTGTACAAAGATTTCCCTTTTTCTTCTTCTCATATTTCATATCTCACCCTTCAGCACATTTTCCACATACCGCCCCCCCCCCCCCCCCCGTATGAATCACTGAACTCGTCTGGATCCCACGCCCCGCGGGTCTCTGAGCCATTTCCAGGGCCGCCACTGCTGAACCTCCGAGACGCGGAACATCCCCGACATTATTGTACTTGGCATCAGAACGGCAAACTCAGCGAATTCCACCCAACGCCACTCGAATCGCATCCGACGGCGAGGGGCGGAAACTCTACAATCAGAAACAAAATGAAAAATCGGCGTCATCGCTGCGCTTTCACCCGACCTGAGATGAACCCCTTCACACTGCGCCGGCGCGGCTTTTTTCAAAGATCGCTACAAAACGCCATATATAAGCGCGAGCTCCGCCCCTCCGAGCTCCACAGACAGGCGACACAATCCGCATTCACTCGGATCTCCGTTCCATTTCATTGTCTTCATGAAAGAATTGATACATTTAAATAGAATGACTCCACCCACTACCAATGGAAAACCATGCGACCCGCGCACCTTGCGATCCCTGCCAGCACGCCAGATGCAGTTTGATTGGATGAGAGAAGGACGTTTCGGATCAGATGGATATGGAATATAATTTGATATTCGGGTCAGGGAATGAGATTTATTTTAAGAGTTCATTTATTAATTTAAATCATAAAATCCTTACGGTTTCCCTTTCTCTTCTCCTGTTCCATCTCAGTGCTGCGGATCTCCTGCAGCCTCTTTGCAGCCACTTCATGTCTCCATGATGACTGCGCTTCCATGGCTGCAAGGACAGGTCCCTGGTGGTGACAACACTGGGACATTCCTGCATAATGTGCACCGACATGGCCATTTGTAGTCGGTGTGACAACGCAGGAGCACGATCGGGGGACAAGTACAGAGCGCTGTCACCCTGTAACAGGAAGTGACTGAACAAGGACCTTAGTGGCGGGATCACCAGGGATTCTATGAACAGAAGCTGCCAACTGAAAAATAATGAAATTGACATTTGAAATGACGTTAACATGTTAAAGAATCGCTACACCTCAAAACAAAAATACATATATATTGCAGCTGACAGCCCTTAGATGTGGCTGCTGCATTCGTTTTCTTTTTTTTTTTCTCAAGCTAAGAACATTCTGAGAAGATATCTGTTGATCCTGCCAGAAATGCCATGTCCTTGTCATTTGCTGTGAGCTGTACATAGGTGCGCGCACAGGGTGTGTCAGATGTGCCTGGGCACACCCTACTCACCCCGTGTGCCAGATGTTGGTGGTGGAATGTGATGGTCGGATGGGTTGGTGGTGGTGGGTGAAGGTTGGTGGTGGAATGTGATGGTCGGTGGTGGTTGATGATTGCTGGTGATGGTGGTGGTGGTGGGGGTGATGGTTGGGGTGGAATGTGATGGTCGATGGTGGTTGATGATTGCTGGTGATGGTCGGTGGTGGGGGGGATGGGGGGTGTTGTGGTGGATTGGATGGTCGGTGGTGGTTGATGATTGCTGGTGATTGGGGATTGCTGGTGATGGTCGGTGGTTGGTGGTGGGGTGATGGTCGGTTGTGGTGGGTGATAGACAGTGGTGGTGGGTAATGGCTGGGGGTGATGGTTGGTAGTGGTTGGTGGTGGACGGTGGATGGTTGGTGGTGGTTGGGTGATGGTCTGTGATGGTCTGTGAAGGTTGGTGGTGGTGGGGATGGTTGATGATTGCTGGGTGATTGGTTGGTGGTGGTGGGTGATGGTCTGTGATGGTCAGTGAAGGTTGGTGGTGGTGGGCTGATGGTCGGTGGTGTTCAGTTGTGGTGGGTGATAGACAGTGGTGGTCGGTGATGGTTGGTATGTGGCTGGTGGTGGACGGTGATGACCAGTGTGGTTGGTGGTGGACGGTGATGGTCAGTGTGGTTGGTGGTGGTGGTCGGTGATGGTCAGTGTGGTTGGTGGTGGTCCGTGATGGTCAGTGTGGTTGGTGGTGGTCCGTGATGGTCAGTGTGGTTGTGTGGTGGTCGGTGATGGTCAGTGTGGTTGGTGGTGGTCAGTGATGGTCAGTGTGGTCGGTGATGGGTCAGTGTGGTGGGTGGTGGGGTGGTGGGTGTGGTGGTTGTGGTGTGGTTGGGGTGGTGGTCAGTGTGGTTGGTGGTGGTCGGTGATGGTCAGTGTGGTTGGTGATGGTCAGTGGTGGTTGTGGGTGATGTGGTGTCAGGTGTGGTTGTGATGGTCAGTGTGGGTTGGTGGTGGTCGGTGATGGTCGGTGTGGTTGGGTGGTGGTCGGTGATGGTCGGTGTGGTTGGTGGTGGTCGGTGATGGTCAGTGTGGTTGGTGTATGGTCAGTGTGGTTGGTGATGGTCAGGGTGGTTTGGGTTGGTGGTGGTCAGTGATGGTCAGTGGGGGTTGGTGGTGGTCGGTGATGGTCAGTGTGGTTGGTGGGTGGACGGTGTTGGGTCAGTGTGGTTGGGTTGGACGGTGTTGGTCAGTGTGGTGGTGGTGGTGGACGGTGATGGTCAGGGTGGTTGGTGGGGACGGTGGTGGGTGTGGTCGGGGGTGATGGTCATGTGTGGTGGGGGTGGTGGTGATGGTGGGTGTGGTTGGTGGTGGTCAGTGTGGTTTGGTGGGTCGGTGATGGTCAGTGTGGGGGTGATGGTCAGGTGGGGGGGTTTTGGTCTGTGTGGGGGTGATGGTCAGGGGGTGGTTGGTGGTGGTCGGTGATGGTCGGTGTGGTTGGTGGTGGTCGGTGATGGTCAGTATGGTTGGTGGTGGTCGGTGATGGTCAGTGTGGTTGGTGATGGTCAGTGTGGTTGGTGGTGGTCAGTGATGGTCAGTGTGGTTGGTGGTGGGGGGTGGGGGTGATGGTCAGTGGTGGTTGGTGGTGGACGGTGATGGTCAGTGTGGTTGGTGGTGGAGGATGGGGGTGATGGTCGGGTGTGGTTGGTGGTGGTGGGGGGGGGGGGGTGATGGTCAGTGTGGTTGGTGGTGGACGGTGATGGTCAGTGTGGTTGGTGGTGGACGGTGATGGTCAGTGTGGTTGGTGGTGGTCAGTGATGGTCAGTGTGGTTGGGGTGGTCGGTGATGGTCAGTGTGGTTGGTGGTGGTCGGTGGGGTCAGTGTGAGGTTCGTGATGGTGTGTGGTTCGTGATGGTCAGTGTGGTTGGTGGTGGTCGGGTGATGGTCGGTGTGGTTGGTGGTGGTGGGGTGATGGTCAGTATGGTTGGTGGTGGTCGGTGATGGTCAGGTGGTTGGTGATGGTCAGTGTGGTTGGTGGTGGTCGGTGGTGATGGTCAGTATGGTTGGTGGTGGACGGTGATGGTCAGTGTGGTTTGGTGGTGGACGGTGATGGTCAGTGTGGTTGGTGTTGTGGACGGGGTGTGGTTGGTGGTGGTCGGTGATGGTCAGTCCATGAAGGTGGGTGATAACTATCGGGCTCTCTCTTCCTCCCGCCAGGACACGCTGGAGAAATGTGCCAATTGCCAGACTCTGATCATGCAGCACATAGTGCGCGCCATGGGGAACAGCTACCACCCAGAGTGCTTCAGGTGTGTGGTGTGTCACCGGATGATCGCCGACGAGAGCTTCGCTGTGGACGAATATAACGACGTTCATTGTGCGGAGGATTATTACAGGTACGGGGGAGGGTAGATGACAGGGCAACGAATGAGGAACAGTTATTGGAAATAACTGAAGCCGTATGAAGCCGTCTTATCAGCTTCTTCCTGGGAACAGTTTCTGGGGACTGAAGCTCAAACTACACACACAGCTGAATGAATCAGAGGAGGGACAACCCTCCCCTCCCCCTCTGCTAGAATGGAAACAGGGCGCTCACTGGGCAGGGCTTTTGTTTTAGAAAAGTTCTACAAAATCACCGTCATGGGTCCACCGTGTGTTAGAGGAGAACGTTCCAGAAGAATGGAGACATTGTATGAGATGTTCGTTTACATAAAGTATCATTTCTAAACGGAGGGAAGAGAGAACAATACAGCTGATCAATGCCGATATAGAAGCTGTAGACTTCCCTCCTGGGGTGGATGGTGCAAGAAGGGGGGCATGGAATGGGGGGGGGCACAGAATAGGTGGTGTGGGGGGGGGGCCATAGAATGGGGTGGCTGGGCATGTAATGGTTGGTGTGGGGTGGGGGTGGGGGTGGGGTGGCTGGGCATGTAATGGGTGGTGCAGGTGTGGGTTGAGGTGCAGAGAATGGGTGGTGCAGGGGTGGTGGTGCTGGGGTGGCTGGCATGTAATGGGTGGTGCAGGTGTGGGTTGAGGTGGGGGTGCAGAGAATGGGTGGTGCAGGGGTGGTGGTGCTGGGGTGGCTGAGCATGTAATGGGTGGTGCAGGAGTGGGTGAGGTGGGGTGCAGAAGATGAGTGGTGCTGGGGTGCTGGACATGAAATGGGCGGTGCTGGGGTGGGGTGAGGGAGGGTGCAGAAAGTGGGCGGTGCTGGGGGGGTGGGGTGAGGGGGTGCAGAAAGTGGGTGGTGCTGGGGTAGGGTGGGGGGGGGGTGCAGAAGATGGGTGGTGCAGGAGTGGGGTGGCTGGGGGGTTGGGCATGGAATGGGTGGTGCTGGGGTGGGGTGGGGGGGGGTGCAGAAAGTGGGTGGTGCTGGGGTGGGGCTGGGGGGTGGTTGGGCATGGAATGGGTGGTGCTGGGGTGGGGTGAGGGGGGGTGCAGAAAGTGGGTGGTGCTGGGGTGGGGTGAGGGGGGGGGGGTGCAGAGAGTGGGTGGTGCGGGGTCACTGGATGTGGCCCCCGGTGAGATGGGGAGTGCAGAGCCCACTGAACTGTATTTGTTGTGTGGTGTCCGGCAGGAAGTACGCCCCGATCTGCAGTGTGTGTGAGCAGCCGATCGTCCCCAGGAACGGGCAGGACTCCTATAAGATCGAATGTATTGGGCGGAGCTTCCACGAGAATTGTTATCGCTGCGAGGTAAGAGCGCAGATCGCAGGTTCTGTGTCTATGGGGGGGCGGAGACATTGGGGGTACAATGGACTTGAAGGGAGAGAACATTTGTTCTATGTTAATGAATGTCAATAGGCCACACCCTGCGCAGCTCGAATGTAAGCCATTGATGTAAAACTGAAAATACTGCATTTGGCCACTAGATGGCGCTACGTATTATAGGAAATTATTGTGATACCAGGTCTCGTCTCCGCCCCCTCCTTCTGTTTTCTGTAGTGGGTGGAGCCTGCTAGGCCCCTCCCACAGCTCTGCACAGGCTATGCACAGCATAGTGATGATGTCACTGCTACTTTTACAAAGTTATATCTGGGTTTGTATATAATTTTGGCTATTGAAGAATATAATTCAATGAACTATTTTTCTGCCTGGGGGGTTCAGCTTGAGATTGGCAGACAACCAGTTTGTGTTTCTATAGGTCCCCCCCCCCCATTTTACAGTACACGCCCCCCCGCCTGTCACCGCCTTCTTGTGTCTTTCAGAAATGTCGGGTGCTCCTGTCCCTGGAGCCCACGGAGAGCGGCTGCTACCCCCTGAGTGGCCACGTCCTCTGCAAGTCGTGTCACCTATCATGGAAGGACGAGCTGTCCTAGATATGGAACCCGTCCGGAACGTCTCTCCCCATCCAACAACCTGGTCGCTGAAATTCGACCGAAACTCCAAAGAGGACAAATCTTCAAATCGACTGACAATGGCGAGAAGTCTGGAAGTGACACCAAACCGTCACCGACCAATGCGGGGGAGGAGCCAGGAGGGAGGGCCGTCCCAAGAGGAACCAAACTCCCATCCTCCTGCACCTTATATAGCCAAGGGGCGGAACAAACTCTCTGCATGGACCTCCCCCTTCTGATCTGTCCAATGACACCATCCTGGGAAGTGGGCGGATCCTGCACTCCGTGTATTTCCTTCTGTTATCTGGGATTTCTATTATTATTATATTATTATTATTATTATTATTAAGTGTTTTGTGCTTCAATATTCCGCAAATCATTTCATGGAATCGGCCAATCAGAGACTCCTAACAATCCTAAGATTCCCCCCAGTGCTTTGTGTCTCTGCCCCTCCCACAATGGGGAGATTTCCTCCAGTAGTTGGTGTCTCTGCCCCTCCCACAATGGGGAGATTTCCCCCCCCCTCCAGTGCTTTGTGTCTCTGCCCCTCCCACAATGGGGAGAGATTTCCTCCAGTAGTTGGTGTCTCTGCCCCTCCCACAATGGGGAGATTTCCCTGCAGTAGTTGGTGTGTCTGCCCCTCCCACAATGGGGAGATTTCCCCAGTAGTTTGTGTCTCTGCCCCTCCCACAATGGGGAGATTTCCCTGCAGTAGTTTGTGTGTCTGCCCCTCCCACAATGGGGAGATTTCCCTGCAGTAGTTTGTGTCTCTGCCCCTCCCACAATGGGGAGATTTCCCTGCAGTAGTTTGTGTCTCTGCCCCTCCCACAATGGGGAGATTTCCTCCAGTAGTTGTGTCTCTGCCCCTCCCACAATGGGGAGATTTCCCTCCAGTAGTTTGTGTCTCTGCCCCTCCCACAATGGGGAGATTTCCTCCAGTAGTTGGTGTCTCTGCCCCTCCCACAATGGGGAGATTTCCTCCAGTAGTTGGTGTCTCTGCCCCTCCCACAATGGGGAGATTTCCCTCCAGTAGTTGGTGTCTCTGCCCCTCCCACAATGAGATTTCCCCGCAGTAGTTTGTGTCTCTGCCCCTCCCACAATGGGGAGATTTCCTCCAGTAGTTGTGTGTCTCTGCCCCTCCCACAATGGGGAGATTTCCCGCAGTAGTTTTGTGTCTCTGCCCCTCCCACAATGGGGATATTTCCCTGCAGTAGTTTGTGTCTCTGCCCCTCCCACAATGGGGAGATTTCCCTGCAGTAGTTTGTGTCTCTGCCCCTCCCACAATGGGGAGATTTCCCTCCAGTAGTTGTGTCTCTGCCCCTCCCACAATGGGGAGATTTCCTCCAGTAGTTGTGTGTCTCTGCCCCTCCCACAATGGGGAGATTTCCCGCAGTAGTTTGTGTCTCTGCCCCTCCCACAATGGGGAGATTTCCCTGCAGTAGTTTGTGTCTCTGCCCCTCCCATGGGGAGATTTCCCTGCAGTAGTTTGTGTCTCTGCCCCTCCCACAATGGGGAGATTTCCCTGCAGTAGTTGGTGTCTCTGCCCTCTCCCACAATGAGATTTCCCCGCAGTAGTTTGTGTCTGTGCCCCTCCCACAATGGGGAGATTTCCTCCAGTAGTTTTGTGTCTCTGCCCCTCCCACAATGGGGAGATTTCCCTGCAGTAGTTGTTGTCTCTGCCCCTCCCACAATGGGGAGATTTCCCTGCAGTAGTTTGTGTCTCTGCCCCTCCCACAATGGGGAGATTTCCTCCAGTAGTTGTTGTCTCTGCCCCTCCCACAATGGGGAGATTTCCCGCAGTAGTTTGTGTCTCTGCCCCTCCCACAATGGGGAGATTTCCCTGCAGTAGTTTGTGTCTCTGCCCCTCCCACAATGGGGAGATTTCCCTGCAGTAGTTTGTGTCTCTGCCCCTCCCACAATGGGGAGATTTCCCTGCAGTAGTTTGTGTCTCTGCCCCTCCCACAATGGGGAGATTTCCTCCAGTAGTTGGTGTCTCCACTCCATTTATTATGAGGGAGGTTTCTCCTTTGTCAGGACAGGAAGTGACGGGAAATCTCTCCATCAGGAACACATTCTAGTGGGAGGAGTTAGACTCTCTGACAATGTTTATTGGTGTCACTTTTAGTGTCATTTCCTGTATGAGGTCACAGGGACAGGAAGTGACGGGAAAACTCCTTCTTGGGGTCACAGACAGAAATACAAACTTGACATTAAAAATGTTGTCTTCTCCCCGCAATCTGTCAGCAAGGATGAATGGAGCGGAGTTGTCCTTTAAGACAGACAAGGCTGAGCATGTGCGTGCCGAATTGCCAGGCTGTGTGTACAGCGTCAGCGCCCCCTATGTGTGTCTGGTTGTTGTGTGTATTGTGCTGAGAATACAATCCGATCTCACAGATCTCCAGGGGACTCCTCTGTCTGACCTCATGGAAAACAGAATCACAAGAGCGCCCTCTGCAGGAATGTCTGATAATGATGGAGACCGAATATCAACCGAAATCCAGAAACAACTCGATACAAATGTTATCAATGGAGTCGCAGTTCAGGGAGTACAAGAAGTGTTTGATCCCGAGCAAAAACCGTCCTACACTCCGCCATGTCCTGTGCTGCGTCCCGTACGCTGCCGTGTGTGCCCCCTGTACTCCGCCATGTCCTGTGCCCCGCCGCATCCCGTACCCTGCCGCGTCCCGAGCCCCGGCCCGTCCCATACTCCCGTCCTGTGCCCCGCCGCAGTGTCCCGTGCCCCGCCCCGTCCCCCACCGCGTCCCGTACATCGTCGCGTCCCGTACTCCGCCATGTCCTGTGCCCCGCCGCATCCCGTACCCCGCCGCGTCCCGTACCCCACCCTGTCCCGTACCCCGCCGCATCCTGTACCCCGCCTCGTCCCGCACCGTCCTGCACCCCGCCGTCTCCTGTACTCGCCCCGTCCTGTACCCTGCCGCGTTGCTTACCCCGCCCCGTACCCCCGCCGCGTCTTCATCAGCTTCACATTTGGTGCATTCGATGCGACGCGATGTAGAAACGGCGCATTGCAGAACGACCTGAATTCGGTGCACGAGTCGTTGTCGGTCCCAAACGTGTTGCAGACACTTCAGGAATTTGGAGCAACGCCAGAAAAGGGGCGCAGCAGGTTTATGAATCCCCCCTCCCCCGATTGTGTGGGTCACCTGCTCATCGCAGAGCATCGAAGGGGGGGTGAACACCACGGCATTCTCCCATACACCGGGCTCTGCTCTGCACTATGGACAGTCCTGAGGCACCCTCTAAAATCATGGACAGTCCCGAGGAACCCTCTAAAATTATGGACAGTCCCGATCCACCCTCTAAAATCATGGACAGTCCCGAGGCACCCTCTAAAATCGTGGACAGTCCGGGGCACACCCTCTAAAATCATGGACAGTCTAGAACTACCCTCTAAAATTGTGGACAGTCCCGAGGCACCCTCTAAAATCATGGACAGTCCCGAGGCACCCTCTAAAATCGTGGACAGTCCCGAGGCACCCTCTAAAATCGTGGACAGTCCGGGGCACCCTCTAAAATCATGGACAGTCCCGGGGCACCCTCTAAAATCGTGGACAGGCCCGGGGCACCCTCTAAAATCATGGACAGTCCCGAGGCACCCTGTAAATGTGAAAAACTCTTCTAAAATAGTTTTCTATAACGCAGCAACACCCACACATGGAGGACACCCAACATTAGAGGGGATTTATTCTTCCAAATAAACTTTTGCACACTGGTACTGACTAGTATGCCAAGGTTTCTCTTCTCCCTCAGTTTTTCTCCATCACTGAGGTGATGGGACCCCAGCACTGACAGAGAGAGGCGGGGGAGGGTCAAATTAGGATGCTGTGCAGGGAACCGACATCCTCCTGATCAGCTGATGATGTCATTGGTTGTCAGGACGCCGGCGGCTAGAAAGTCATAATGGCGCCCAATGAAAATCTATGGCTTTGTGTAACTAAGTGGCAGGCTTGTCCCACCCGCTGGCTTGTGTACCAGTTTTGGGCAATTTTTAGACATTTTGCCAAGGCACCCCTGACGAAACCTCAAGGCACCCCTGACGAAACCCCAAGGCACCCCTGACGAAACCCCAAGACACCCCTGATGAAGCTTCAAGACACCCCTGACGAAACCTCAAGGCACCCCTGACGAAACCTCAAAGCACCCTGACGAAACCCCAAGGCACCCCTGACGAAACCCCAAGGCACCCCTGACGAAACCTCAATGCACCTCTGACAAAGCTTCAAGACACCCTTGATGAAATCTCAAGGCACCCCTGACAAAGCCTCAAGGCACCCCTGGCGAAACCTCAAGGCACCCCTCATGAAACCTCAAAGCACCCCTGACAAAATCTCAAAGCACCCCTGACAAAACCTCAAAGCACCCCTGACAAAGCCTCAAGGCACCCTGGCGAAACCTCAAGGCACCCCTCATGAAACCTCAAAGCACCCCTGACAAAATCTCAAGGCACCCCTAATGAAATCTCAAGGCACCCCTCATCCTGGTAGAAAACGTCTGCTCTGTAGGAAATCACAGGTGCTATACTCTATATTAGCCACAAGATGGCGATGGAGAATAGGGCAGCGCTATGGAAGGGGAGCCATCACTGTTGTGTGGCGCTACACTTGGTGGCCAGCAGATGGCGGTGATGCACCGAGCCCGTGTCCTGCCCTATCGCCTACTTTCTAGAATGTGAGTCACGTGACCACCATTATATAACTTGGTTGTGACCTATATCCATCAGTGTGTCAGTACATGGGGAGGGGGGGGGGGGCAATCTCAGCTTTATTAAGTCCTCACGCACACGGGACGTTCTTACAGCGACTGGTTTTGGCTTTTGACGTTTTTTTCCTACATCCAGTAACACATCCCCCCCCCGCATGTTCTCCTCGGCGCCCATACACACACAGACTGGAATCAACGATTTTTGGCTGGAAACAAACCCAGAACTGGCGGGCTTCTAGAGGAGATTTTTAGCTGTAAAATCGCTCTAATGCTGAAAAATGCAGTAAACCGCCGTTTTTGTTTTTACATTTTATTTTCGTTATTAAAAAACCATTAAAAAATGCGAATGCGGAAAAATGTGGTAAAATGCCCCTAAAGACGGCAAAACGCTAAAAAAAAAGCTGAAAAACTTTTACAAAGCTAACGTTACCGGCGGCATCAAAAACGCGCCCCCCCCCCCCCCCCCCCCCCCCCCCAGTGTGCATGGAGCCTAAGGCGACGTTCACACCAGTGTTGTGTGCAGGCGGCAGAGAGGCGTTTTGGGGAAGCGTTTTTACCGCTTCCCAAACGCATCGGACAATTCTGCACATTGCAGCACATGGTGCTGTTCTAACGGGAGCGTTAATGGCGCGGCGCGGCAAAACGGACGCCTCTGGTCGAGTCAGGAGACGTTGAAGCCTCCTATTCTAGGCTACGGTGCCGCTCCGCAAACGCCCGGCGGCTCCCTCCACCGTAGCCGCGTCTGTGCAGCGTGTGAACATGAAAGCCCGCCCCCTTCCTGCCGCCGTGGATACGTGTCACATGGCTGGCAGGAGGGTAAGGGTAGGTGCCCCCCGGGGTGTGCCCGAGATGGTCGATAGGATGAGTTAGGTCAGGGAGCGAGCTGTGACTTGGAGCCCAAACAGAGGTAGGGACCCTCCCTGCCCCCCCATTTATGATGTGAACTGAAACGGGTTGCGTACGGCTAACAGATCCGCTATTCCAGCGCAAACACGTGGCTGCAGAAAATTCTCTTTGTTCCGGATTCATTCATTCATTTCAGGTACTTATATAGCCGTTTACTCTGCGCTTTACATCTATATTACATTCACATCAGGCCCCGCCCCCGAGGAGCGTACAATCTAAGGTCCCTAACTCACATTCATACATACACAGACTAGGGACAGTTTAGACAGGAGCCAATTCACCGCCCAGCATGTCTTTGGAGTGTGGGAGGAAACCGGAGTACCCGGAGGAAACCCACACAGGCACAGGGAGAACATGCAAACTCCAGGCAGGCGGTGCCGTGGTTGTGATTTGAACCGACGACCCGAGTACTGCGAGGAGGAAGTGCTGACCATTCATCCACTGTGTTGCCATGATGTCACTCATTTTGTGTCATGATATTCGTTATGTTGGGATTCTTTGTTTCGGATATTTGCCGACTCGTATCTTGGGAAGTTATTTCTGAAGATTCGGATTCTTTCATTAGGTCATTTCAGCAACTTGCTTGTGACTTCAGAGGGACTTGGCAGTGCGGGTTCAGGAGCA